TGGTTCTCCTTTGATAAATTGTAATATGTACAGAGAAGGGTTATGGGCTAGAGAAGGCCCTTGAAATGTACTTCATAAGAGGTGTGAAAGAAGAATGGGGAGGATATGTGGCCTGATCGGCAAGGTCGGTTGTTACAAATAATGAGGAGATTATGTAGAAGAGGGAAAATGTAGGTGAAGGTAAAGGGTAGCAGGAACAATTTATTGTGCCCCTCCCTGTTCAGTAACCATGTCTAGCACTGTGCTTGATATTTTGTGTATGTTTTAATCCTTCATCATAGTCTTGCGTGATAAAGAATTTTTTTTCAACTGAGAAATGGAGGCACAGAAAGGTAAAGTAACTAGACCGAGATCATTGGGCTAGTAGTTGTCCAAAGATTTAAACGCTGGTCTGACTCCAAAAGCCCGTTTGGATGATAATCTACAAAAGATAGTTTTGGTTGAGGATTATGAAAACTCTTGTAAAATACAGTGGATGAGGTTTTTTACTTCTTGTCACTGAGACACAGTCCCCTGCAGCCACAACTCCAAAGAGGAAAGGTTTGTTTGGCTCCCGGTTTTGTAGAGGGTTCAGCCCATAGTGCCCTGGCTCCAAGAGAGGGCTGCATGGCAGAGGGACATTGAAGAGAAGAAAGAGCTCATTGACAGGAAACAGATCCAACAGTCAGAGACGGAGGGAAGCCCCCTTTCCAAGCCCACCCCTAGTGACCCACCTCCTTTGACCAGACCTCAGCTCCTCATGTCACATTTAGCTAGGAAGTCATCGGTGGACTAATCCACCAGTAAGTGATGGCAGTCACCTCCCCAGAGTCCCACCAGTGAGAGCATGTCTGTGTGTATCTAATCTAGATATTAGCCATACACGTGGTTTTAAAAATTAGTTTCATTTCCCGTCATTTGCAAGTGTTTAAAGAGGCTAGACTAGCACTGTGCAGTGGATCTGTGGATGTTTGGTGTCAGGGAGTGAAGTTTTGAATTCGATGTTGGTGTTTTAAAATCCTGTAATTACAGGCAGTAGAAGTTGCTCAGTGTATTGAGCATGTGTTGTGCATGGAGATGCAGGGAAAACAAAAGAGCTTTAAAGACTGTGTGTCAACCCTTTGTGAGTTTAGAATTTAGACCTGTTTAGGAAGAGGTGTTAATGGGCATTTGTCTAGTGGAAGACTAATTTGTACTATATGGAGTTTCTCTTCTCTGCAGTAGATTCTGGTCTCCAGTCTGCAATGGGCAAGATTAACAGTTGCAGCTGGTATTACAAGGGGCTGGGGATTTAGCTCAGCGGCACAGTGCTTGCCCGGCAAGCACGAGGTCGTGATTTCAATTCCCGGTACTGGAAAAAAACCAACCCCGCACCCCCCCGCCAAGAAAACAATTGGTATTACTGGAGTTTTTCCTTCAGATGGCCTTTGAGGGCTGAGGGGTTATCACTAGACTGGTCTGGAGCCTGTGGTAGGGGCCAAATAATGCCTCCATTATAAGTGGCACAATTTATCTATAGAAGGGATTACACAATTAAAAAGAAGTATGTGTGTATTGCACACATACTCATTTGCTGGGTGTACACCTAGGTGGAATATTGTTTCTAGTCTGGTAGGTAATGGATATACTGTACCAGAGCATAGATGTGTAAAACATTGGAAATGGAAAGTCTTACGTGAATTTGAAAGTGACTGTTAAACTGGAGGTGACATGACAAAAGTATTAGTAAGTGTATAGATAAGAATAAACAAATACTGATTTATCTGCCAGTCTAGGAATCAGATGCATACTGCAATGCTTAAAAAGAGGTAGTTTTAGGACTGGGGATGTAGTTCAGTGGGTAGAGTGCTTGTCTATTGGGGTAGAGGCCGTGGGGTTGGATCCCGAGCGCTGAAAGGAGGGAAGGAAGGAGTTGGGTGGGGGTAGTTTTAGGTGAGGTAGAAGAGGCTCTACAGTGACTTTAGATTACTAGTCACAGTATGAGGAGAGAAGAGAAAATAGCGATTTAAACTCTGGAGGGATTGGTAGAAATAGTTTGAAAAGTCTTTTTTTTTTTGGACAAGGTCTTTCTGTGTATGTGCAGTTCAGGCTGGCCTGAACTCCCTCTGTAGCCTTAGGCTACCTTTGAACTCCAGGCAATCCTCTTGCTTCAGCCTCTCAAGTGCTTTATTACGGGTGTACATCACTACATCCAATTTGAAAAGACTTTTTTTGTTGTTCTTTTGGAGACAGGGTTTCACTATACAGTTCAGGCTGACCTTGAACTCACAGGGATCCTCCTGTCTCAGCCTCCCTTTCCTCCTGCCTGGGCCTTCTGAGTGCTGGGATTATAGGTGTGCACCACCATTCTGCCCCACCCCCCCTGGACCCGTGATCAGACTCACGACCTTGTGCTTGCCAGGCACTGTGCCGCTGAGCTAAATCCCCAGCCCCTGGCTTTTTTTTTTTGAAAGGACGTTTTTGATGTATTAGTTTTGGAAACAACCCTAGGGTTTTACAAATATTTTAGTAAATATTTTCATAAGAGAGGAAATTTTATGTCAGAGAAAAGGGGACGTAATTTAAAGTTAGAGAAATATCACGGTAGATAAACTTGTAAATGGCAGATTCATTGAATGGGACTAAGAGAAGTATAAAGAGTGTTAGCATATGTTTCCTGCCTTGAGATTAAGAAAATAACATCTTCCTCCAGTTACCATATTGGTCACATTTAACATATTCCAATTCTTTATAAATTTTATTGACACATAATTGCACGTATTTATAGGGTACAGTGTGATAATTTGCTACGCATGTACATTATATTGATCATATCAGGTAATTAACATTTCCATTTCTCTAGCTTTGAGGGAATTACTGTGGCATATTAAAATGAGTTCTTCGGAGGAATCTTAAAATTGGTCCGGTAATCTATTTCTTTGTGAGAAAGACCAGTTTGAAAAATAGTCGTCGCTGGACATACTGGCACACACCTGTAATCCTAGCACTTGAAAGGTTGAAGCAGGAGGATTGCTGAAAGTTGGAGGCCAGCCTGGGCTACAAAATGAGTTCAAGGCCAGCCTGGACTACATAGTGAGACTCTTGTCTCAAGAAAAAAAAAAGAAAAAAGTAGTCACATTTTTGGCACTGTATTCAGGATAATGATTGCTCGTGATGGGAAGGGAGTAGGAGGAGGAAAGGGTCTGATTAATTGATGGGTAATGTTTTATTAACTGAAGTAGATGTGGGCTCGGGTGTTTTTTATAATGTTCTTCATACCTTTTCATAGGTCTTAAATACTGATAATGAAATAATTTTGTAGCTTTATTATATAGAAAGTTAAATTACATATATTCAGCAGTATTTTTTCTTTTTTCTTAACATTTTTCTGTAGAGGGTTTTATCCCTGCATCAGTGTATCTCTATTTATATACATATGTTTTTCCCCCTACACCATTTGAAAGTAAGTTGTGGCTATCGTGATACTTAATCTTTAAATACCCCAGGATTCCAAAGAATACTGTTTTCATGTAACCATTATTACCATTCTCATACATAAGATAATGGTAATTCTAATAAGTAAATACGACATTCTCTCTGTAGTCACATTTTTCCAGTTGTCCCTAATATGTCTTCTGTCACAATTATTATCTGTTATAAATTGAAGGCTCACCTCTTTCACATTTATTTTCAATCTGTTAAATCCCTAGTACTGTATTTTGGTACTTTTTGAAGTGTCCAGGCTGATAGAGTTTTTTGTGCTTTTTAATGTTGATTTGAGACAAGGTTTCACTATGCAGTTCAGGCTGGCCTTGAACTCACTTTGTAGCCCAGGGTGATATTGAACTCAGTGATCCTCCTGCCTCAGCCTCCTGAGTGCTGAGATTATAGGCCTGTATTGCCATGCCCAGCTAATGACTATCTCTTTAACCATAGAAAACATTGAGTATAGCAAGTCAAATGAAATTTTAAAGATTAAATTAATATTTACAAAGGACTGAATTGGTTAAATTCAGCAATAATATAAGAGCAGTCCTGTGATTCTATAGTTTCTTTCTTTAAACTCCTGACATACTTTTTTTTTATTGGCAGAGTTACTCCACTTGTTACATTATTTTCTTAAAAGTCTGTAGTAAAGTCAGATTGTTGTCTTTAAAATAAATTAAGTTAAAAATTAACTTAATTTTCTTAAAACAATCGTTAATGTTTAATGATAAAACAAAGTTTTCAGATTAATACGTTTTATAGTATTTTATATATACATGGATTGTACACAGAACTTCCAAAACAACTTCTAATGTAAGAGAAATGTGAGGTAGTATTTGTAAATATAGATCTTTGTCTTAGTAGAACTTGAATAAGTAAATGAGAGCTATGTATATTTTTGAATAATGCTTATAGACATTATATTTTAAAACAAATTTCAAGTTTCTATACTTTTTTGAAACATCCTTCTGGACATACTCAAAGATATACAATAAAGTATATATTAAGAAAATCATACTTGGTTTTTTAATTTAGACTGCATGAGATCCTGACTTTCTGGAGTTAAAACTAAAATTATGAGTATTAATTTCTAACTGTAGCATTTTGTTGAAAATTTTCTGGGATTTCCTTGAAATTGAAAAAAGTTACTAAATTTCTTTTGTATTTTTTTTTGAGATGGAATTCTTTTTTTTAGAAATTCAAAATTTTTAGCCGGGCATGGTGGTGCACTCCTGTAGTCCCAGCATTGGGAGGCTGAGGCAGGAGGATCTCAGAGTTCAAGGCCAACCTGGGCTACATAGTGAGTTCAAGTCCAGCCTGAACCACATAGTGAGACCCTGTCTCAAAAAAAAAAAAAAAAAAAAAATGCAAAAGAAATAAAAAATTTTCAGCCATTCAGTTTATAACTTTATTCTTAGGTTCTTTTGCTAACTTGTTCTTTTGCATTTTGGTTTGGGATTTTTTTTTAAATGTTTGCTTTTTAATACAGAGAGATTTACTGAAGGGTGGAATTTAGACTTTAAAGTTATTAACTAGAAATTATTTTCTCTTGCTAGGAGGCAGGTGGAAGTCATCATAAGGTTTCTGTTTCGCCCGTTGTCCATGTTCGAGGACTGTGTGAGTCTGTAGTGGAAGCAGACCTTGTGGAGGCTCTGGAAAAATTTGGGACAATATGGTAAGGACAACAGGGACTTTATGTAAGATGAAAATAGCGTGGTGTAGAACAAGCCTTGCTCGCTTGCTATGTGTCTTTGGGATTGAAGCTAGATAGTGCTGAACTACATTGCCAGTTCTTTCTATATTTTAAATTTTGAAACAGGGTCTCACTGAGTTTTGCAGCTGGGATCCAGGTTGCGATTTTCCTATTTCAGCCCTCTGAGTAGCTGGGGTTGCAGGTGTGCACCACCACGGACCACGGTTGGCTTGCTGCATGATTAGCATTGTGTATGTGTTAAGTTTGCCTGTGACTATATATCTTTGGAAACTTCTAGCTTGTTATTTATTGTGGTCAAGTGGCAGGAATAGCTAGATAAGCACTATACTATTGAACTGCTTCTTGGCCTTAAGCTTGTTATTTTTAAACTCCCTGGGTTTGTGCATAAGTTTATTTTTGTAGCTTTGTGATCACTTCTCACTGACAAGTGGTATGTAAAGTTTTAAGTGAAAACATAACCAGAGGTGGGAGAGGGGAATAAAAGAATTAAGATGTGTTGTATACATGTACCCACACCCCATCAGAAATATGATCATTATATACTATAAACATACTAAGAAAAAATAAAAATTGCAAAAAACCCCATAATTAGAAAATTAAATTTCCTGCTAAAGGTAGACACTTGAGCTTTTAAATTATTTTTGGAGTATGACTGGCTATTATTAATATGGATGATCTAGAGTGGGTTTTTTTACGCATATGTTTAGGGGTTTTATTATAGGCATCATCCAAGGCACAGACCCAAGTTGAAATATATAAACAAATTTTAATACAGTTCCTGAGATAGCCTGATTGCTCCAATTTTACAAAAATTTTTAAATATTTTATGAAAGTTTGAGTAATGAAAAAGTAATAATTCATCAGAGATATTAACAGAAATGGGTCTTTTCTTCACACAAATAGGAATAGTATTAGGTGACACTTTCTATCATAGCATTTTATTAATTTCTTTGGTGACCTCATTGAATGGTGGGTCATTTGGCAAACATGTGGTCAACTGTGGTCAGTTTATATCCTTCAGAAACCACGGTTACAGACTGTTTGTATTAGGATGTGTAAACTAAGAACCTTACATGGCCGTCGTAAAGCCCTTATGGTGAAGTGTCATGAAGAGGATGGCATCAGTCCTTAGTCATACGGACTGGATGTTGGAAATCAGCTCTGTCTGAAGAGTTACGTATCGATGCTGACGTCGGCCCTAGACTAACCCCAGTCTCTAAAGGCCCACTAATAATATAAGTGGTACATTGTCTGATGGAATTATAAAGAAGTAAATGTATTATATATTGAAGGCTTTTACAATTAATTTGGGTTGTTTTTTTTGAGGCAGGGTCTCACCATGTAGTTCAGGCTGGCTTTGAATTCATTGTGTAGCCTACACTGGCCTCAACCTCAGTGATCCTCCTGCCTCAGCCTCAGAAGTGCTAGGATTACAGGTGTGCAGCGCTACGTCCGGCTAAAATTAATTTCTTAAAGCTAGGAAATACTGAGACAAATGTCAGAAAGCAAGTTGGTGACTTGTTGGAAATTTTAGGGAAAAAAACCACTATTTTAATATTTTGATGTCAGTTAGCTATAAATGAGTGTTGGGGATGGGGGTTGGTGAGTATAGGGTATGGTGGCACATACCTGATTTCAGTCAGCTACTCAGGAGGCTGAGGCAGGAGGATTATAAGCTCAAGGCAAGCCTGGGTAACATGAGACCCTGCCTCAAAATAAAAAATGTAAAAAGGGCTGGGCATGTAACTCATTTGCCTAGCCATGTATAACCCCAGTACAAAAAAAAGAAAAAAACACCCAAAATTAATAATTTCAGTTATTTCTGGGTATCCTGTCCATTTTTAGACTGTGTACTGTCTGATACTTTATCTGTGGTATCAAGTCCTCCATATATGAATGCCATTTAATTAATTTGTGTAGTGCATCCATCTGCCTGAGGTGTTATTACCTGGTTAGCAAAATCGTGAATAATTGGAACAAATTAGTGTATGATTAAGAGCTTAATTGGCATAAATAAATGTAATAGAAGTTTCAGTGGAATGAAATAATAGAAGGTGGTTGCTGTTAAACTGAAAGAATCTTGAACAACCTCCATTTAACAATTTTGCTTCAAAATGTTACATTTAAAATGTAAAATATAGGGCTGGGGATTTAGCTCGCCGCACAACGCCTGCCGGGCAAGTGTGAGGTCGTGAGTTCGATTCCCGGTACCGGGGGAAAAAAAACAAAAAACAAACAAACAAAAAAATGTAAAATACATTCATAGAACCTTTGCCTATTTGTTTACTTATTTAGTGATATGTATTAGGATTATAAAAAGTATAGGAACTGGTCATTTTGAAAAGGTAGTAAATCACCGATTTCAATATATAGTAAATTGATACCTAAAAACTGATACATATCTGGTAATCTGAGCAGCTTCTTTGAAGAAAACAATATATAACAACCATTGTTAATTCCTATCATCTTGTTTTGAAATCCTGTATCGTTATTTTTGTGTTGTTTTGTTTTTGTCTTCATTGTTGTTTTGTTACTGTTTTTCTCTTGTTTTTTGGTTATTTTTTCTCTTTAAAATAAAAAAAAGAAAATTAAAAAACCCTGATACATAGTAAAGTTAAGGAGAAACAATAGGAACTAATAAGAAATAACAGAACAACAAGTTAAGAATGGTTGTGTCAGGTTGCTGTATTTTATCTTGGTCTTTTGTTTTTATTCATTAGTATGTTTATGTATTAAAATCAAAGGAGTACTTAAAAATATCTCTTCCTCCCCTATTACAGATTTTGGATAGTGATGACTATACTAGTTCTAAAACAAAACTTTTAAACTTTTGTACATTGAATCTGTTGCCTTGAGTTTGTTTTTTTTTTTTTTTTCCTGTACTGAAGATTGAACCTAGGGGATCCCTACCTGTCAACTGTATTCCTAGCCCTCTTCATTTTTTATTTTGAGACAGGGTCTTGCAGAGTTGCCCAGGCTGGGCTCAAACTTGCAGTCCTCCTGTCTGATCCTTCCAAGTGCTGGGATTACAGTGTCTGCTACTGCAGCCAGGTGCCTTTTTTTTTTTTTTTTTTTTAAACCCTCTTCTCTCCTTGGTCTTTCATTCTTTCTCACATTACTGCTTTTTAAAAGATTTTTAGAGCCGGGCATGGTGGTGCACTCCTGTAATCCCAGCACTCGAGAGGCTAAGGCAGGAGGATCGCTGATGCAGGAGGATCGTTGTGAGTTCGAAGCCAGCCTGGGCTACAAAGAGAGCTCAAGGTCAGCCTGAACTGCATGGCGAGACCCTGTCTCAAAAAGACCAAAAAAAAAAAAAAATTTTTTTTTAAATTATATACCAGATAGTTTAAGTACATGGTATTGTCTGTGACATTTAAATTTTTCCTTCTCTGTCTTTATACAATGATACCTTCAAATTTGTGCTTCTAGCTCATGTTTAACTTAGTTATAGAAAGCAGTTTTATTATGACTGAGTGTAAATGAGGCACTCTGGGAAGTCAGGGCAGGAGGATTGCAGTTCTGAGCCCTGCTTAAGCAACTTAGCTAGACCTTGTTTCAAAATACAGTAGAAAATAAAAAGAGCTGGGTATATAGTTCAGTGTGAAGGCCCTGGGCTCAATCCCTAGTACCAGGAAAATTTTTTTCTTTATAATATTTCCATAATTCCAAATGATGCTTTTAACATGTTTACTGGATACTATCATTTATGTTAAATCAATTTTTTTGTTTTGTGAAAGAACATTATTCTTGAATTTCTTAGCATAATTTCAAGGCTTATTGTTTTTCATATGTAAGAACTTCAGTTATAGAAGAAATGTTTTCTGTCCTGGAGTTTATATCTTGCACTTACAGTTGATTAGACCCAAGGTCTTACACGTTCAGTATTTATTTTTTTATTTTTGAATAGTATAGGTGAGACAGTTAATAAGACTCCTGGACCAGCAAACACCGAATATGTACTATGTGCCAGGCTCTATTTCTTGATTCTGAGTATATAGAGATGAATGTGGCCAGATTTGTAGGAAATACAATAGTACCTACTTTTATTAAGGGCTCCTAGTAAGACAGGCACTATGCTCAGTAGTGTGCGTACAGTAACTCAGACTTCAAAGAATAGCGATTTTTCTGGGTCATAAAATGGTCTGTTTTTTACTAATACTTTACCATTGTTTCTAAAGTGAAGTGATAGTCCTGGTGGCTGGATCAGAAGTAGTAGTGTCATTGAGTGTCTGACCTAATTTGATTTCTCTGGCCTTCTGCTGTTATAAAACCATGTTGATGATATTTAAAACATTTATAAGGTTCTTGTTTCTGTGAATAGAGGACATGTTTTCAGTACAACAAGTGATGTGCTGGGATTTTTCTTTTTTCTCCCGTCATTTTGTTTTGACTATTAAATTATATTCCCCTCAAAAGAATATATTATGAAAAGTAAATACTAAGCCAGTAAATACCAAGTGTGGTGGTGTGTGCTTACAATCCCAGCACTTGGGAGGCTGAGGCAGGAGGATTTTTTGTTTTTGTTTTTTTTCTCTGGTACTGGGAACCGAACTCACGACCTTGCGCTTGCCAGGCAGGCGCTTTTGCCGCTGAGCTAAATCCCCAGCCCCCATGAGGCAGGAGGATTGCCAGCAAGTTCAAGGCCAACCCTGGCTACGTAGTGAGTTCAAGACAAGCCTAAAAGGAAAAGCAAAATACCTCACGTTCCCGTCCATAGGGACAGTTGTTATGATGCCATATTCAAGTGATTATCTTCTCATGGACTCTTTGACATTTCACAGTATTTTGGAGAACAGTATTTATATGAACTTTGATCACTCTGGTTGTTTCTTTTTATCTTTTGGTTGTCTACTTTTAAAAGTATACTGAATTCTTAGTTACTACTATGGGCACTTACTGGGAAAATTCAAAGGAGTTAGTATGATTTGTATGATTGTGATTATTTACAAGTTGACATTTTTATTAAAGTCTGTTTTTACTTGAGAATAAGTAATGTCAGTTGAACTTGTGATATTTGGTATTTCCTATTTGTCTTTTCAGCTATGTGATGATGATGCCGTTTAAACGACAGGCTCTAGTGGAATTTGAAAACATAGATAGTGCCAAAGAATGTGTGACCTTTGCTGCAGATGAACCTGTGTACATTGCTGGTCAGCAGGCTTTTTTCAATTACTCTACAAGTAAGAGGATCACTCGACCAGGAAACACTGATGATCCATCAGGAGGCAACAAAGTCCTTTTGCTGTCAATTCAAAACCCTCTTTACCCAATTACAGTGGTGTGTATTTTAGTTTGACGAACTGCTTTTGTAATGACTAATGTATGGTTTTCTTATCTGGCGCCTAGATAATTTAGAATAGTTTTAATTATTAAAATTAATCATGGCTGTAAAGTTTAATGAACAAAGAAAAAATAGTGCTGAAGCCAGAAACACTAGAAGTACAGTTACCATAATTAGTCACTTTAAAACTTTGATTATTTACCACCAGGGAGAATTGTTTTACAGTCAGATGCACATACATAGGATGATTAAATAGTACTGTGTTCAAATAAGGAAGTTATTGTGGTGTAAGACGCACCGCTGTTGATCACATCATAGTTACTTTAGGACAGCCCTTTTAAGACTGGTGTTTACGTAGTTTCCTGCTGCTTTACCCTTTCACAAATTAAGAATTTTTTAAAAAGATTCATATTCTGAACAAGATTGATTTTTCTACTTAATACTCAGCATGCTGTTTTATAAAGCTAATGACAAAGACAATCTGGTGTTATTTTCAAAATAGGGTTTTGCTAAGCAGGCTGACCTTGAACTCAGGGCAATCCTCCTGTCCCAGTCTTCAGAGTGCTGGGATTACAGCCGTGCACCACCACTCCTGGCTGGTGTCTGACCCTGACATATATATAAATTCTTTTTTCCTTGCAGTGACTAAAATAGCATGGTCAGGGACGCTTCAGTTGGTATGGTTTCTAGTGTGGGCATATGATAGAGGTCATAAACTTACAGTTAAATATAAGGTACTTTAGCTTTAATTAGTCATATTTGTTTACTTTGCTAATATCAAAAAGACTAATATATTTAAAATATTTGGTGCTTTAGAAAAAGAATGTAATTACAGATACTTAATTTTTTTTTTGTCTTTTTGAAACAGGGTCTTGCTATGCAGTTCAGGCTGGCCTTGAGCTCACTTTGTAGCCCATTTTGTAGCTCAGGCTGGTCTCAAACCTGCAAGAATCCTCCTACCTCAGCCTCCGAGTGCTGGGATTACAAGTGTGCACCACCATGCCTGGCCAGATACTTAATTTTTGTTATATCCTTACTACCTGATAGTGCAGCTATGTGATTATAGATGTTCAAGACATTTCTTAAAAATTGAAGAATTACTCCTCAGTGAGTATTTAGGTTCTGAGTCACAATGACTCAGTCATCTTGTTTGGTGACACGTAACCAAAGATCCTTTCTTGTATCTTTTTTTTATAGTCCTTGTCTCTTGATAAATGAACACCAGAGTTCTAGTATTGCCATAGTAAGTATTTATTGCTGTAATCAAATAATTATAATTTTAAACATTCAGAGACATTTGGGAAAAATTTACATGGTTACAGTTTTGGTTTTTATATCGCCGGAGGCTATTTTAGTCACCTGTTAGAAAAATAAATACTGAGGAGTCGCTAGGAGATAAAATAGGTAACAGTGCTTCTCAAACATTTTCTTAGGAGAGTCTCCAATGTTAGTGTATTATGTAAGGAGAAGTAAATATCTTAAAGTTTTTAAAAGTCATTTTAAAAAACTAGGTTAGAGGCTGGGACTGTACTCATTGGTAAGGGCTTGCCTAGCATATGTGAGGCCCTGAGTATGGTCCCTAGAGCTGCAAAAATTTTTTTTATGTTAGTCTACCTGGGCGTAGTGGTGCACATCTATAATCGCAGCACTCAGGAGGATGAGGCAGGAGGATTACTGAGTTCGAGGCCAGCCTGGGTTGCAGAGTGAGTTCAAGGTCAGTCTGAACTACATAGCAAGACCCTATCTCAAAAAACCACACACACACAAAGTTTAACTTGTAATTAATAGGAATGAAATTTTAGTTTTTTGATAAGATAAAATAGAGCATACTTTCAATGTTTTTCTAAATATAAAATGTGAAAAAATATTGTCTTTCATCTTCATAGGATGTGTTATACACCGTATGCAACCCTGTTGGAAAAGTACAGCGCATTGTTATATTCAAGAGAAATGGGATACAAGCAATGGTTGAATATCCTTTATTTGTAAATTTTTAATTGCTGTGTATGAATGTTTTATAAGTCATATGGAGCTCTTTTCTAATTAAGCCTTTCTAAACAGGTGGTGGTTACTTTTTTCTTCCACAAAAATCTACTTGGCTTAGATTTTAAAAATGAAAAGTATAGTACCCGTACAGAATTTTACTATTTTGATAAGGATATCTTGTTATCATAAACAGTCCAGTACTTCATCTTACATTGTGAAATAATACTAATAGGTAATGTGGACAGTTTGTACCTTTCTGAAGTGTACCCCAAATGAACTTTTCCCACTCTCCCCTTAATATAATTTGAAAGTAGCAAAACTTTAATTACTAGAATTTCTCTTAGCCCTTTCTCTTAAACCTTTTAAGCTGGTCATGGTTTACATAAGATCTTCTCTAGGTTAAGTTTGTTAATATGTTCACTGAACACAGCAAGTTGTAAGACAGTATATATAATACAGTTTTTTTTCAGTGTGAAGGATTGAGCCCAGGGCCTCGCATGTGCCTGACAAGCCCTGTATCACTGAGCCACATCCCCAGCCCCAAACTCATTTTTAAATGTGATGGTCAAAAACCTCAGCCTATATTTATGCATGGGCATGCATAGGAGAAGGTAGGAGTGTATAGCAAAGTCTTTAATGGTACTTGCTTCTAGTAAAGTATTGCTACTTTCTATTTTTTTATTTTATATGTTTTAGTGGATTTTTTTTAAAAATAAAAATAATTTTTACAAAATAAAATTAAATGATTGTAAAATCTTCTCAGAAATCTATAAGAATTAAATATTTGTATTATTTTGACTCTGAAATGTACTTCTCTTTTTAAGAGTAAAATGTTTCTCAGTTCAAGGTTGCAGATTGTCCTTTGTTAGGAAATAGGACCATGCTTCATTATTTTTGTTTGTTTGTACCGGGAATCGAACTCAGGACTTCGTGCTTGCCAGGCAGGCACTGTGCCACTGAGCTACGTCACTGGCTCCCTATGCTCTATTCATGTTATTCCCAAATTGATAAAATGCTACATTTCTGACAACTTAGAAGGATTAATGTACATTGGTTATATTATGTTTTCTTTGGCACCTTTGACTTAAAAGTCTTATGCCAAAATTTATGTAGAACTTTATTTGATAAACATTTCCAAAAGTAAGAGTTACTCTGATTATTTTTAGTTGTTTGTGAGTGAAGAGTGATTAAATATTGGGTACCATAAAACATTTCCTTAATGGAGTTTATGTTTGAATCGGTCCTTTGTGCCCAGAAAGCCAAGGCAGCACTTAATGGAGCAGATATATATGCTGGATGTTGCACACTAAAAATTGAATATGCAAGAGTAAGTATTTTTCCTACATTTACTCAAAGAAATATTTATGCTTTGAGTATATGATTTGAACTTATATTATTTTCAACTCAACAGCCAACTCGTCTAAATGTTATTAGGAATGACAATGACAGTTGGGACTACACTAAACCATATTTGGGAAGAAGAGGTAGGTCCTTTATGCATTTTAGAATGTACTTACCTGCTGACGAATTTTTACATGCAGTTAGATTCTTTTGTCCTGAGATGAGCTAGTTAAATCACAGGAAAACCTGGTTGGTGAATGCTCTTGTTGGAAAAGGCCATGTAATGCTGGAAAAAAGCCTTGAACGTTAGTGCCCCCTACTGGTATGTACTGAGCTACTTAAATTTAGTTCAACAAGGAGCCCATACATACAGGCACGCCCGCAGTTCAAGGACTTGCATTTCTCCAAGCAGCTCTCTCTCTTTCGAGGGGAGGAAACTGATTCAGAATATTCCTTACAAACTGCAGACTTGCACACTGCTTCTCTATGGAAAGGACTTTTCCCCCAAGCTGGACGAGGCATTAAGAAGGATAGAGGACTTCAGCAGGCTGACTCTACACTTCATCATGCACAACATCGGCATCAGCAAAAAGCCCTCTGAAAAACTCAGACTTGCAATTCACCTGACTGCATACTGCATGCACCATCACCCCAAGTTTTTAAAGGAGGACACTTAACAGTACTTCAGACTTGCATGGGATGAACACCACGATAGACTGTGCCCATTTATTCAAGTTGTATGTGTATATTGGTCTGATTTCCCTTAAGGTTTCAGTTGTAGAATCTAAGACGTTTCACTAATGAAAACTAGACTTTATTTACAATGTTGTAAATCTTAATGCCCGTTACTGTAACTGTTTGCAAATTAGATTAAAATTGTTAATGGCCGATAACCAGAGTCAGTTTAACTATAGGTCTTGGGAATTTATACAGTGCTCAGCCACAACATACTAAAAAGATGTGTGGATCAGAAAGGTGCATATTTGGCTGGGGGTATATCTCGGTGGTAGAGTGTGTGCTTAGCATGCTCAAGGCCCTGTGTTGGAGCCCCAGTTGGTCTTTTTTTTTTTAAATGCACATTTGCTGCACTTATATTTATTTTGTTTTGTTTTTTTTTTTCTCAATTATGGACATTAAACAGAAATTCTAACAAAATGATAAGGTTTTTTTATGTAAAAGGTGTTTTTCTATGTGTGGTTTGATTTTTGTGAAGTGGCTGTTTATACATTGTCACTTTTTGTAATATTTAAGGTTATCATTTATGTTAATTTGTATAACTAGAAATTTTAATATTTCAAGTATAGGTGAAGGTAAACATGTCTGTTCAACTTAGAATATATTTAAACTTGATAAATCTGAAAAATAAGAGCATTTCATTTGAGATGCAGTATCACCTATAGCCTAAAAAAAAATCTAAATTTAATGAGCATAGATTTGATAAAATTGTTCAACTGTGTGGCAATTCTGGAATATACAAATTAAAATGTGGATCTTGTAAAAACAAGGGGGCTGCAGTATTGGCTACATCTGAACTACAATATCAGTGCTTGAACCACATACTGGAAAAACAAGATGAATGTAGTTGTAAAAGTCAACTAGAAAAAAAGTGTATGACATCCAAAATACCTTGGGCATTGGGTACTCTAGTGCATGTATTCTAGCAAAAGACATTGTGATGATCTTTTGCATGTTCAAATATTTAAGGCTTTTGGATGATTGGCTTAATTTTCAATTTCTGGGAAATCATCTTGGTTTATGCATGGGGTTGTAATTTGTTTGTGTGCAGCTTTGACTAGACTCCAAATTTTTCACTACTTCATGAAGGTATGCTTAACCTCCCTGTGGTACAGTTGCATTCAGTATTGGAAAACAGCCTTAGCACTCAAAACAACAGGCTACGTGGTGGATGAGAAATCGCTCGCTTCTGTCAACTTACAGTAGTTACTGAACACTGAATGTTGGTTTTGTTTACTTAAAAATAGTTTGAGTTGCATTTTTTAAAATACCTCTTAAAAGAGTTAGATTTAAAGCATGTTTATATGTATTCTTTAAGAAGATCAGAAAAAAAAATAAAAAGATCAAAGGCCTACACAAAGCAAGCTTAGATTATTTTTCCATACAAGTCTAGTCGTATCTATTTAAACACGTGTAAGGTAGATAATTAGTGAAATATAATTAAAGGAGATAAAATTTTATTTATGCTTTCAAAGGAAAAATATTCTTGTTTTCTCATTTCTCACATACAGTAAATTATATTTTGACCAGACTATAGCAGTTTATGCTTTTGTTTCTGTAGTGATCTTAGCTTGCGCGCAAGGTAATAGACAGTTTTGAGAACTTTTATGTTTTGCCCAAATAGAGATCTTCATATATCTTCTTCTACCAAAAAAAAAGGAAGAACCTTTAGTTTAAAAATACTTCATTTTAGAGACTTCTTTTCACCCTGTTAACATTTTAGTGAAAACAGTCCTTAGCCTGAATTCCAGGGAAACCCTCCAGAAATGTGGGGCAAAACTTGTATATGTGTGCATCTTTTGGAGAAGAAAGTTCATAACTTCTATTAGATTTCAGTTGGATTCATGAAAACTTAGAGACAGTATTTGGAGACTAATGTATTCAGTGTTTGATTTCTCTGCTCACTTCTATTTTGTGTGACTTCATATTAGGTAGTGAATGTTTCAGATAAGAATTATTAATAGTGAGAATGTATGCCTGAAAGATACCTGTGAAATTGTCTACTCTCTATTCCTTCATTATATGAAGATTGTGAGTTTCTGTGACTGTATAGCAAATCAGTAGTTTAGTTGGAATCTTCTCATTCCCAATCTAGTTCTCTTTCCTTTAGCACACTGATAGTACATATATCAATACAGTAAAGCCATGAAGATACTATGGTGGTTTTGATTTTAAGATTTCTAGAAGAGGTAAGGAATTGTATTTAGTGTTCAGTGGCATATGCTTAAAGAGAGGAATAGTAACAGAGATTAGCAGACTGGATTGATTTAAGAGCAGTGAGACTTAAATGGTGAGAGAGATACTGGAAGACATGTAATTTTTGTGTGTGTGTGTGTTCTTTTTGTTTTCTTTCCAGTACTGGGAATCGAACTCACGTCCTCACGCTTGCCAGGCAGGCGCTGTGCCACTGAGCTAAATCCCCAGCCCCAAAGACATGTCATTCTTAAAAAGGAACTTTGAGTGTTTACACTGGAGAAAGCAAGACTTTGGGGATATGGAGAAAGGGTCACAGTACTTTCCAAGCATATGGAAGAGGTTTCAGATAAAGACTGAGTCTGTAAAGGTCCAAATGGGTTAGAATATGGACAGAGGATTAATACCAAAATTGATTTTCTTACAATTTAGGATATTTAAAAACATAAGGGAAGGTAGTTAGTACTTGTTTGTTACTGGTATTGATTAAGCAGAGACTAGATGGTCCCAATTAATAGGGATAATACGAGAGTTTTTATGTTGAGTAAAAGTTAAAGTAGATGACCTTGGTCTCTGCCAATGCTGTGATACTTGGAATAGGTAATTAAAATTGTATTTCTCTAGACTGAAGTGAAAATTAAAATATTTCTCATCTCCCATAAAATGCTATTGGTTTAGGTGGCTAAGGGTATATACAGAAAGCCTTCCTCTCAATTTTCAAAGACTAGAATGACCAATGCTTTAAGTTATATAAACAAAAAGGTCTTACTGGTCGCTATAATTTAATCAGAAACTTTCTACAAGTATTGTACAATGATTTTTGAAATTTATTGATCAGCATAAGAAGTTCTGTTTTGGAAACTACAAATAATGTTTTAATTGATGTCTCAAAATTTGGGAAAATTGGCATGCCTTTCCTGAAAATATAGCTAGAATACAAATTATCCTTGAGTATTGTAGTATTCTCATCCAATAATGTAGCCCCCTTGGTTAGCTTTATCTTGGCATATTTAAACTTTGGGAGTTGGTCATATTCTGCCTGATGTTAAGGTTTATAGACAATGTCCTATCTATGATATCATACAAGCCAGTGATGTGCAGATTTTCAGCTCTCAAGTCAGTAGGTGTTTGTAAATATGTGTATATCCATAAAAATACTCTGTGTTTACTGATTGTGAAACCATGTAATACAGGTTGTTGTTGGCTTATGCTGAAACTTCTTGAAAGAAGCCCACTTTGAAAATGTGTTGCTGTTGAAGCTAATAGTATGATTCAGGTACTGTCTTTCAAAAGTACTGCACTTAAAGCTTGTTTTAAAGACATGTATTGGTAAAAACTTCTGTACAGTGTCAAAACTCTCTAGCTGTGTGTACATTCACTTTTTGCACAGTATCTCTTCCCTTAAAATTGAAAGTGTGATTGTATTTGGCATTTGCCAAAAAGTTATTTTCAAGTTAAGTGGAATTTGTTAGATAGAATTATTTTCTTAAACTTTTGGTGTTTGTATTTAAATTGGATATGAATGGATGTTTAAAGTTAACCAGGAGTCATATTTCTTTATGAAGTATAATGGATGTTTTGAATGGGTGTTTCCCATATGAGAACTCTGTGAAGTATTTGGGTCAAAATTGTTAAAACCATGTTTCTACTTTTGTGTCAGATAGAGGAAAGGGTCGCCAGAGACAAGCCATTTTGGGAGAACACCCCTCTTCGTTTAGACATGATGGCTATGGTAAGTTTGTCAAGGCAGAAGGCAGGTAGTATAGATGAATTGTTAGACTTTTTCCATTTCTGATGAAGAGTGGCTTGTTTCTTGCCTCTATATTCTTCCTACCTGATGTGGTTTATTTGGGAGTAGTCCCTTATAATATGGTCCTAAGAAGTTGCCCAAAAATCCCTTTTTAAAGGATACTGATATAGCAAATAGTCCTTGAGATAAATTGAGATCTATTGCTTGGGGATTGAAAACTCCTTTTGCCATTATATGTGTTTGTTTTGGTTTATAATGGGTTCTGGCCTGTAAGAGGCCCAGAAAGGGGTATTATACCTCAGTAAGTTTATTTTCATTCAGCAGTTATGAGCAAAGAGGAATTTTGAGTAATAAAGGCAGAAAAAGTGGCGTATCTGCCAAAAAGGAGAAATGCTTCTTTTGGTTCTATAGTTAGTATTTTGGCGTTGGTTAAATGTGTTTGCATTTAATTCCCCTTTTAAAATTTCTCAGCATGTGTTATTTGCTGGGTTGATGAATTAAGATTATGAAGCCTAGAATTAAAATTTTTCCTGAGAAAAAGTTGGTTAGGCTTCAGACTATTCTTGTAAGTAGATGTTGAGAATTGCTATTGATAAGACTTTTAATGGCTATAAATTGTTTTCAAATAGTTTTTAGTAGCAGTTATTGACCCCTGCTATGCTTTAAAGCTGAAGTACAATACTCTTAGATATGGTGAGAAGTAGAAATTGCTGTTTCGTACCCTTGGAATTACTCATCAGAAAGCTTCTGATGTTGCCTGTTGTCCTCAACACTGTCAGATTGCGAAGCTTCCATTCTTAGCTGTTTCAGCTTACTACTTAATGTCTTTTTGTTTGGACTCCAGATATTTATTTCTTGTATATATGTGTATTTGTTTAAGGTTTTCTAGTAGTCTATATGCCAGAGGTTTTTCAGATCGTCTACTATGTCAGATTAGTGAGTGTAGCACAGAGTGAGTCCTGTTAGAGTTTTAGTGTTTCTTGATCATTTTTCTTAGTTGTTTCTGTAACTGAGTAAATGTTAAATGTAGTTGTATGGTTAGGTCTGGTCTTGTAGTAAATGCTTATGGGGGAGTCTGTTGTACTATATAATGGAGGTTTGTTTAAAAATTGCCAGTTACTGGCTTAGAGTATAGTTGTGGAGTTCAGTATGTCAATAGCAGTGAGTTGAAGGCTGAAAACTAGTTCATTGTCTTACCAAAGGGGGAAAGGCAAAACTGAAAGGATAAGTGAAGGCCCAGGAACTCGACTGCAGTGCTGTTGAAACTGATTTTTTTTTATTACAGATTTTCAGGTGTACTCCTTTATAACTGAAAAACTATATAAGCAAAATGCTTTACCTGCCTTATAAGACTTTTTTATTTTAAGAGTCTATTGTGAATTCATTAGTTACGTCCCAATTTATTGTGTGTAAGAGTAAATCTTTAAACTGTAAACTTAAAAATCACTAAATTTTTTGGAGTGATAGTTACTAAATAGGGATTATTGAGGTTCTGGACAGTCCTGCTGAGGGGGAATACTTGCACTGGGGTCATGATGGACATGAACTGTGTTCTCCGTTAAGGTGCAGAACTTTGAGATGAATTTGTTCTGTTTTCCTAAAGAATTAAGCAGGATGGGTTGTGAGAGAGATTGTGTGAATAAAAAGAGGTGGAGAGGAGAAGCAAGATGAAGTAGAGGTAGTTGATAGTGAAAGTAACGTAATTTAATCCTAGTGGCTGAAGGTCATAGTTACAAACATTATTTATTCTCTTGCACTGATTTTTGTTGTTACCTAGGGTTGTGAGTGGATCTTAATGCTTTTGGATCTTAGCCAGGCTAAGCAGAGTAAAAATTTCTACTACTTACTTACTGTAGGACTTTCCATTTCCCATGAAAAAGAAATTGATTATAATGGTATTTAACTTTCTTCTTTTTTTGGGGGGGTACAGATTGATTGTAATGTAGTATCATTACTTTAGAAGCAAATGGTAGTGGCAGAGTGAATATGTGCTTCTGCAATAGAGCTAAAAATAATTGCTATTTGAACCTTAGTATAAATTAAGAGACCCAAATATGTATAGTTACTAACAGTTCACCCACCATGAACTGTATTGTTTTGATAAAGTACCAGTCATCAATAAAAAGGGCAGTTAAAAGCTATTAACAGGGTAATATCTGTTGATGAACATTTCTCCTTAAAATTGTACAAATTCACACCATGTTTCTGTATACTCAGTATAGGGCTGCTTGTAATTGTAAATAGCCGTGGTATTTAGAATATTAAAAATTGGAGATCACACTATAACCTTTTATAGCATGTATGAGCACCAAAATTTAAGAAATTCGGTAGGTGACAGGTGTCCCTTAGAGTGAACGTAAAAATGAGAAGGAGCTTGGATTTTGGATTATTTAGTTTTGTACATCAGGAGGACTTTTGCATACGTCCCCGTCTGTGCTTCTACAGTCACTGACATAAGCACATCTAAGGTGTGAAGGGTTTATGTTTGTTTGTTTGTTTCCAGTACTAGGAATTGAACTCACGAGCTTGCGCTTGCCAGGCAGGCGCTGTGCCCTGAGCGAAATCCCCAGCCCAGGGTTTATGTTTTTGTGCTTTGTGGTCTCCATCTTAGTTGCTGCTTCTACATTCTTCTGCTCCTCTTGTTGCTATAAATGTGGTCTTTGTTTACTTTTAGTTTGGTAAACCAGATAAAGTTTTTTAGAACAATGCTTAAAGTTAGAAGATTGATTCTGGATGAGATGTAAATCTACAAGATGTAAGAGATTTCTTAAGAGAAGTTTGTGTGTGTTTCTGTGACATCCGTTTTAGACATTCAGGCATTGTTTTTTGCTGAGTTTGTGATGTTGAAAAAAAATAGAGGCTGCAGGCCATTACATCAACTAAAAATGAATTATTTGAATCTGTGCAGTTGAAACACTAAACTGAAATTTTAGCTTCCTAAAGCAGAATTAGGAGAATCCTAACCTGAAAGTATATTTAACCTGGAAGTACCTTACAGTACTGCATGTTTAAGGAGCTGACTTTCTGTGGAACTGAAGCTGTTCTTTGTGTTATATTTATATAGAGATAGCTTTCTAGATCTCACTGTGTTTATTGTTCCTCCAAAAGATATGGGCAATTTTTTTTAAAAGTTTGAGGTGTAACTTACAGACAGTATAATTACATTCTAATTTATATATAGCCCAAGGTGTTATGTTGACTGCTTTCTACCCCATACCCTTATACTTTTTTTACTTAAGCTACTTTTTTAAAAAAATACACCACTCTAGCCTGTATACAGGTCTAAGTCACCATATTGGATTTTGTCAAAACAAATACAAAGTTTATTAGTTTCCCACAGTTGTGTTTAAATAAACATATACTTGAGAGGTTTTTTGTGGGTACATCAAATTTGGTAACATGAAGAGTGTTGTTTTATGTTTACTGTGGTGGGTGGGCATGCAGCAAGGCATATAGCTCAGTGGTAGAACATAAGGGTAGGATATGTGAGGCCTTGGGCCCTGTCCCTAGCACTGAAAAAGAATTACTTTTTGTGTGGTAAAGTGCACCTACTTAAGTATTTATGGATGTAACTGTGTATGTTTTATTTTGGTCATTTTTATAGGATCCCATGGTCCATTGTTGCCTTTACCAAGTCGTTACAGAATGGGCTCTCGAGATACACCTGAGCTTGTTGCATATCCATTACCACAAGCTTCCTCGTCTTATATGCATGGAGGAAATCCCTCTGGTTCAGTAGTAATGGTTAGTGGATTACATCAACTAAAAATGAATTGTTCAAGAGTTTTCAACCTATTTTGCTTGTATGGAAATATTGAAAAGGTGAGCTTTCTTTTGTATTAATTTCTTTTGCTAGAATATCAAGTAGTAGTTCTGAAAAGGCTTTGGATAGCATGTTTTATAAGCTGAATGTAGTGGCACACTACATATAATCCTCACCCTTGGGAATGTAGTGGCACACTACATATAATCCTCACCCTTGGCACACTACATATAATCCTCACCCTTGGGAAGCTGAGGGAGGAGGATTGCTGTGAGTTCCAGGCCACCATGGACTATATGGTGAGTTCAAGGCCAGCTTGAAGTACAAAGTGAAGCTAGGAGTGGTAGCATATGCCTATAATCCCAGCACTTTGGAGGCTGAGGCAGGAGGATTGCTGCAAGTTCAGCATCAACCTAGGCTACATAGTGAGTTCAGGGCCAGCCTGTACTACAAAGCAGGACTGTCTAAAACAGAACACAACAAAAAAACAAAACAAAAATAAAAAAGAATTAAAACACAACAAAACAAAAAACAGGTAACAGTCTTTTCCTTGTATCAGAAATGCCAAGTTCTTTTGAATAGTGGCCCTCATAAGCTAAAAATCCACTATATATGCACTTCAGAAATTTTTAATTTTTTGCTGAGTGATCATTGTAATTTGTTGGTACTAAAATATGTTCGTTTTTTTTTTTTTTGGTTTTTCTCTAGTACCGGGAACTGAACTCACAACCTTGCGCTTGCCAGGCAGGCGCTTTGCCGCTGAGCTAAATCCCCAGCCCCTAAAATATGTTTTAAATAAATACTATGACAATCTAAAGCAATAGTTTAATCAACTAAAAGGCATACAGCCTATATAGACAAGTCCTCAAGTTAGGGAGTTTTTCTTATTTCAGATTTAAGATGATGTGAAGGTGATATGCATTCAGTAGAAACTACTTCAGATTTTGAATTTTATTACCTTCCTGTGTTAACCATAAACACTCAAGTATTCCTGTAATACTGGGAAAGGGCAGTAAATCAGTTCTCAGTGATAACAGGGGTAAAAAAAAAACCTGATACTGAGCAGTGTATTCTGTTGCTAGGCTGTAATGTTAGTTTAGTTGGGTACATTAAGAACAGTTACTTTTAATGGAGCCAGATACATGTGAGTGTATCTCAGCGTGGCCAGAAGTGTGAATTTTGAATTTTGGGAGAGCTCTACACTTGCCTCCTAAATGCTATGGTATGAGTATCTTCTGAGGAGCAGTGCTTTTCTTTTTTGGTGCCAGGAATCAAACTCAGGACTGCTGAGCTATAGACCCAGCCCCAGTATTGCTTTTACATTTGATAGAATGTTAAAATTCTATAGAATGCTATCTTCCTGTTTTAAGTGGTTTTAAGGGTTTTTTGTTTTTTTCCACGATGAGAAAGTGTAAGCATTTGAGTCACAGGTACATGGGTGGAGAGCATGGCTTGAAAAGTTGGTACTCTTAGTTGTTGGCTCAGTAATGCTAAAGGCTGTCATCTGGAAGCAGCCTTTCTGGATTCAGAAATAAGAATTTTCTGTATTATTTAATTATACTAAAGGAAAGAAGAAAGACATTTCCACCTTTGGTCTGAGGGATGACATATGGGATATTTCTGCTTATATAATTTGCCAATGAAACGGTAGAGTTAGCAACATTGGTGAAAGATCAGATTTTTTCATGCAGATTATTTATCTCGGGCCTAGGTGCTCAAAGTGTAGGAACTGCATTTTGATAGCTCAGTGGGCTTTGATCTGTGTGTTAACTTGGATTACATAGTACTACTTGGCTGTTTGTGCCTTTTACGTACGTAGACAACCAGTCTCAGGCAGTTCAATCTAGAGTACTTTTTTTTGAGACAGAGTGTCCCTATTGCAGTTCAGACTGACCATGAGCTCACTTTCTAGCCCAGGCTGGCCTCAAACTTGCAATGATCTTTTTGCCTCAGCCTCCCGAGTGCTGGGATTACAGGCGTGCACCACCACGCCTGGCCCTAGAGTATATTTTTTTTGTTTGGGTTTTTTTTTGCTTTCTGTGACAGGGTCTCACTATGTAGTTCAAGTTGGCCTTGAACTCACTGAGCCCAGGCTGGCTTCAGACTTGCGGCAGTCCTCCTGCCTTTAGCCTCTCACGTGCTGGGATTATGGGTGTGCACCACCACACCAGTGCATTTTTAATAGATCTCTGTCTTTTGTGTTACAAATTGTCCCTTATGATTTAGAAACCCAAATAACATTTACTGATAAAATTTTTATTTGACTAATTATAGTCAGTTTCACTCCATAGTATCTCAAAACATTTTCAGCATTTTTTAAAAATTTAATTTTTTTTGGTACCAGGAATCAAACTCAGGACCTTGCTCTTGCCAGGCAGGTGCTGTGCCACTGAGCTATATCCCTGGCCCAGCATTTTTTTTTTTTTTTTGGTACTGGGAATCGAACTCAGGACCTCTTGCTTGCAAGGCAGGCACGATTCCACTGAGCTGTATTCCTGGCCTATCACTTTTAAATGATACATTAAATTTAAATCTTAATCCTTTAAAGATGTATACATAGTTAATTTTTCCTAATTTTGGGAGGGAGATTTATCAGTATAAAAACTAAATATGTAACATAAACTTAGTTATTATTCAGTTTGTAGAATATTACTGGATTAAGTAAAGGGATAAGAATCTGTCCACAAGAATAATAAATACATCGCTTTAAATCTTAGCTTTTCCAGGGGCTGGGGATTTAGCTCAGTGGCACAGCACCTGCCTGGCAAGTGCAAGGTCATGAGTTCAATTCCCAGTACCTGAAAAAAAACAAACAAAAAAATCTTAGCTTTTCCATTTTTAAATTGAAAATATTCCTAAACTTACCAAACATGGTAGTTGTAAAAGTCATATGATATATTCTAAGTGCTTTGTAAACAAAACTGTTGTTTTGAAAATCAAGGTATATTTATTGGTAATTCAATTTCTATACTCTGACCTTCATTTTTTCAGAAAAAAGGACTCATATTTGTCATATGTTAAGAGTAACTATTTAACATTGCATGAATATTCTAAAACTTGATTTATCTATCCCTTTGATACTTCTGAGTTGGTTTGCTTCCAGTTTGTTAGCAAACTGTAATGTTTCTGTCCACCCAGTGGAAAAAATGTGATGTGCCTTTTTTTAAATGATTAAGTGACTTAAAGATGGAAAAAGAAGGAATCTGTCCACAAGAAAACAAGTGATTTCAAATAAAACTGAAAAGTCTTACCTTTTGTTCAAGTGTCAATATAGTGTAAAAATGCTAAGATTCCTCATTAAACTTAGTAATTGAAGTGATGAAAATAAGCACTACATTGAATTTGTCATGTAAAAACGTCTTCAGTATTCCCTTGAGGACGATAGGTAAAATGGAAGTAATGTTCAATGTGTCATGTGTGTTATGGGTACTTACAGTAGTTTAAATTTAGAGACTTTCCAGGAGTTATGCCCTGTGCTAAACGGTTATCACACTTTGTCCTGTCCAGCTCCTACAGCATTATATACTAAAATTGAAACAGTGTAAGAGGATGACTATGGCCTCTGCCCAAGGTGACATGAAAAGCCATGAATTACTGCTTCATTTTATTTTGTTTGTTTGTTTGTTTTTTGTTTTTCTTCCAGTATCGGGAATCAAAGTCATGACCTTGCGCTTGCCAGGCAGGCACTATGCTGCTGAGCTAAATCCCCAGCCCCCTATTGCTTCATTTTAAAACTGCCTCTGTAATACACTTACTACTGCGTTATCTCAGGGGTATTTTGTGTTGTTTATTATACAGCATCTCATTTATTGCCTTAACAGAACTCTACAGTTTTAATTATTACTTTGAGGGGGACAGGGTCTTGCTGTATACTTCAGGCTGACCTTGAACTCATGGCGATCCTCCTGCCTCAGCCTCCTGAGTGCTGGCATTACAGGTGTGTGCCACCATGCCTGGCTTACTTTAAAATTTTTGAAGAGCCTAGGATGAGTCCTGTGTGCTTAGCATTATCTCCATTTTTTGTAGGAATAAATCTGTGGTGCAGAAAAATTAGGTAAATTCCCTCCAGATCACACAGTTAAATAACAGCAGAGATAAGCCTGTGCTCTTCTGTATGCCATACAACAGAATTACAGTCTTTTTAACATCAGTGGATCTTGATACGAGTTAGGGATGGCTCATACGTGGCGGAATACATTTAAGATTCTAAGTGATATTCTGTATTTGACTTTAACCACTAAAAGCATACTTCTAAAAATTCTGTTATGTAAAAAGTAACTAAATGGCTCTTTTGGGGGATTTTTTTATTTACAGGTAAAATTTATGAAGACCATCCCTGGCACAGCACTGGTAGAAATGGGTGATGAGTATGCTGTAGAAAGAGCTGTCACACACCTTAATAATGTCAAGTTGTTCGGGAAAAGACTTAATGTTTGGTAATTATCTTAAGTGATAAATTTTTAAAATTTTTGTTTTTTTTATTATGTTAAAGGTTTGGGTCTCACCATCTATGTACTTCAGGCTGGCCTTGAACTTACTGTGTAACGCAGACTGTCTTTGAACTTGTGCCAGTCCTCCTGCCTCAGCCTCCCAAGTGCTGGGATTACAGGCTTATGCTACCACATCTGGCTTATATTAAAGGTTTTTGATATGAGAATATATTTAATAGATTTTCTTTCCAACTCTTAAACCATAAAGGATTTTTTTTTTTTTTTTTTTTTGCAGTACCTGGGATCAAACTCACGACCTTGCGCTTGCCAGGCAGGCGCTTATGCCACTGAGCTAAATCCCCAGCCCAAGGATTGATTTTAACCCATACTGAATACATTTGGCCTTATGTGTCTGCAGATTCTGTACCTATAAATTCAACGAACCATAGATCAGAAATACTTAGGAAAAGTATTCCGTCTATACTGAAACTATATAGATTTTTTATTATGCCCTAAACAATATAGTATTACAACTATTTACTGTACATGACATTTCCTGGTATTAAATATTCTAAGTAATCTAGAGATGGTTTAAAGTATGTGGGAGGATCTACTAGGATATATACAAATACTACACCATTTTATATAAGGCACGTGAGCATCCTCAGGTTTTGGTATCTGGGGTCCGGGAAACAATCCCTGTAGATCTCAGTGGATAAGTGTACTCTATTTAAATAACCACATGTACCTTGCTGTGTTAAGAGTCATGGAAGCATGTTGTTAGTGTGTGTTTTTCTTTTCCATCTTCAGTGTGTCTAAACAACATTCAGTTGTTCCAAGTCAGATATTTGAGCTCGAAGATGGTACAAGTAGCTACAAAGATTTTGCAATGAGCAAAAATAATCGCTTTACAAGTGCTGGCCAAGCATCTAAGAATATAATCCAGCCGCCTTCATGTGTGCTGCATTATTACAATGTTCCATTGTGTGTTACTGAAGAGACCTTCACAAAGGTAGGCACTGAAGTACAAATGTGTGTAGAGCGGTGGCATGTCCTGTTTCAAGATTTATGTCTCTTAAAAGTCTTTTCATTCTGCTTTTGATATTAGTAGCAGAAAGTTACTGTATGTAATTTAACTATTTTAAAACATTTTTCTCATAGAACTTGGTATTAACCTGAAAATATGTTTGATTTAATCCATTCATGTTACACTCAAGTCTTAAATATTGCTTTGTAAAACTGAACTTCCTATAAAAAAAGTGGCAGTATTATTTTGGCAGTATTTTTGATGAAGTTGCACCTCTCTTTGGCAGTTGTGTAACGACCATGAAGTTCTCACGTTCATCAAATATAAAGTGTTCGATGCGAAACGTAAGTAGACAGTTTCTCTTTTAAACTTCTGTGGACAGAATTGAGGACAAGCCAATAACAACCGGATCTGTGTGTCTTTGTTTTGGTTCAGCCTCTGCCAAAACACTTTCTGGGCTATTAGAATGGGAATGCAAAACCGATGCAGTAGAAGCTCTAACTGCACTTAATCACTACCAGATCAGAGTCCCAAGTAAGTAAAATGCCTCTTTTTGTGTGTTAACCATTCGATCGGAATTACCTTCAGAACCATTGACAGTGATTTTTTTAAATACAGAGCAAGATTTCTTTTGGTGTGTCTATCCCTTTCTCTGAGCTATGCTCCCTCCCCAGCTTTTCTGTTTGTTTGCTTTTAGAGAAGTACAGAAAGAAAAAGGCATAGGCTCCCACACACATAATCCTTGTGTTAGTTACCTATTGCTATATAGCAAATTATCGTAACACTTAGCAGCTTCAGGCAGCAAACATTTATCATTTTATTGTTTGTGAAGGTTCAGTAATGTGGGTGTAGTTCAGCTGCATAGTTGTCAAAGAATTTGTACTGTTGGCTGAACCTGTAGTCACACCAAGGTTTGAGTGGGACTGAAAATTCACTTCTAAACTCGCTCATCTGACTGTCTGCAGGCCTAGTGAAACCTCATTGGCCTTTTCGTGATAGCTGGCTTTCCCTCAGAATGAGCGGTCCAAGTATTCTTTATAATTTACATTGGAAGAAACTTAGCGGCACTTAATATTGTAATTCTTTTGGTCGTACAGAGCATGGTATAGCTTTGTGACTATCAAGAGAGGGATCATTGGGGCTGCTTTTACATTTATGCTGCTAATTTCAGAGGAAAGCAGTACATGTATATGGTTAGAAAAGAGCATTTAAAGGAACAAAATAAAAAGTTGAAGCTTTCTCCGACGTCCATCCTCATCTTCCTTCCCATATAATTACATTTTAACACGTGCAGAGTACATATTCTGTAGGTACTCTTCTGTGCTTTGTTCTTTTTACTTAATATATCCTGAAACTGTCTCTGTATTGGCACATGAAAGCTGCTTTTTAAAAATTGTTAATGCATTTTCAGGTAGCTATTCACAGTAACAATGTGCCAGTTTATTTTGTCCATCTTCCCACTGATGGACACTGTAGTTTGCATTTGTTACTTCTCTTGCAGTAAGTGTGTTTATATGTTGCACTTTCTAATGTGTATTTATGGGTCAGCTTTGTAATAGTGGAGGGCACTAAGGTTTATCTTTTGGTAAAATGTTGTTAGATTGCCCTTCAGAAAAGTTGCACTGGTGTGTATTACCGTCATGTCTGAAAATGGCCCTTCCTTGCCCAGCACTTTTTCCAGTAGTCAGAGCTTCAGTTTTGACCCATGTAAAGAAAAGTGGTATTCCGTTGTTTTAATTTGTACCAAGTGAAACTGTCACTCTTCTTTGTCTTCAGAATGCTAAATAACCTCTTACTTTGTTTAACTATGCAAAGAACATTCAAGTTGAACCTAAGAAACTATGTTGTGTAATTTACTTGGGTCCCAAATGTAAAGGGTATTATTTTTTGGAGATGGGGGTCTTGCTGTGCAGTTCAGGCTGGCCTTGAACTCAGAATGATCCTACTGCTTAGCCTCCCAAGTCTGGAATAACAGGTTTGCACCTCCACACCTAGCTTTAAATTTATTTTTTAAAAATAGAGGAGAGGGGCCAGGAGTGTGTAGCTCAGCAGCACAGTGCCTACCTGGCACATGCAAGGCCCTGAGTTTATTCCCGGTACTCCCATAGAAATAAAAATTAAAACAGGGGAAAATTATGACTAATACTAATTGGGTCTAGTGATGAGTGATATTAAGGGGAAAACACACGTATTCTCACACGTACTGCTGAGGTGATACATGTCTGTAGTCCCAGCTACTTGGAAGGCTGGAACAAAAGGCTTGCTTGAGTCTGAGTTCAAGACCAGCCTGGGCAAAACAACCAGCCTCTGTTTCAAGAAGCGAGAGAGAGACACACACACACAAGAATTTATGAGTGGAGTGTCATATGTTAAAATGTTTAAAAATAGTTTAGCTCCCTAGGATGCACAAGGAAGCTGGTCATAGTGGTGCGTGCCTGTAATCTCAGCACTTGGAGGCTGAGGCAGGAGGATTACTGCAAGTTCAAGGCCACCTGGGCTACATAGTGAGTTCAGGAACAGCCTAAACTACATAGCAAGACCCTATCTCAAAAAATAAACAAAAAAGTAAAATGTGTGTGGAAGGCCGTGTGTGGTGCACACGCTGTACCCCTGTACTTCAGAGGCTGAGTCGGGAGGACGGCAAGTCGGAGTCCGGCCCGGGAAGCTGCCGAGACTGTGCTTCAAAACAGAAAGGGCTGGCAGGGCAGTTCAGTGGAGGCCAGCCTGAACCGCAGAGCGAGACCCCCATCTCCAGTGGTGGAGCCGGAGCTGCGCCTACCTTGTGCAAGCTCCAAGTTCCACCGTCCCTAGAACTAGGGACGACAAAGCATGTGGAGGGTATGCTGGCGCTTACTAAAGCTGGGCAGTAGGTTTGTGGTAATTTATTAAACTGTCTTTCATATATTCTTGAAAAATTTTGCACATTTTTGAAGTTTTCCTGGTTTTTTTTTTTTTTTTTTTGGTACCAGGAATTGAACTCAGGACCTTGCACTTGGCAGGCAGGCACTTGTGCCACTGAGCTATATCCGTGGCCCTCCTTAATTTATTTTCGATAAAAAGTTCGAAAATATTTTGGTATTACCTGAAATGTGATATTTTACAGATTGTCAACTATCTCAATGACAGTTATGTTTTTATCTTCTATAATGTCTTGTAAATACTTGTTTTTATCTTAAAGGATCTCCTCCACCCAGGGAGCTATAGCTTTAATTTTTTTATTTTTAACTTGTGTTTTGGTTTTTTGAGGCAGAGTCTCACTATGTAGTTCAGGCTGCCCTTGAACTCAATATGTAGCATAGGCTGACCTGAAACTCAAAATGGTCCCCATGCCTCCTGAGCGCTGGGATTGCAGATGTGCTTCACCACGCCTTGGCGGGAGCTGCAGCTCTTACTACTAAAATTCTGGTGCGTTAAGGTACCAGAATTATTTCTTTGCTTTGATTTAAACCTAAACAATCAAAGAAGAGTTATTTCTGGTCTGAAAAAAATTAAAGAAAATTTTAAAAGGGAAATATTTTTGTGAATTGTACATTTTAGTATTCAGAATTTAGTGCATCACTGGTAATCAGAGATTTAATACTAGAACTCTTGAACACCAAGTGCTTAGAGTAAAACTCTGGCACTGAACAAACATGGCTGCTCTTTATGGAGCTTAGTGTCCAGAAAAATAGGAACAAGGTCATTTTCCCCTTAAGAAGTTTTCCGTTATATTCATGATTCTGATAGTATAAAAAGGTGAAAGAATGTGGTGAGGTGAACTACTTACTAACTTTGTTTTTTAAAATTTTTATTACAGATGGTTCCAATCCCTACACTTTGAAGCTTTGCTTTTCTACATCCTCCCATTTATAAGAAGAGCATGTTAGAATTTATGTTCATCTTTATTACAGTTTTAAAGCCACAGTTCATTAAAAAAATAATCTAAAATGGTTCATCTCATGTTGCCTTGCTTACTTTAAGATCCTGTTCTGTAATAAACATATTTTGCCTTGAATAAATTTGTTGTAAACTTAAATATTGTTTTCATTTTCAGATAGAATATCATAATGTAGACTGTCTACAGCTTTGTTGTAGATTATGCAAATACATGATTTCTAAACTTATTACTATAATTTTTCTTCCATGGTAAAATTATATTTACATTCTTAATGCTAATTACTATCTGCAAGTATTTTTCCATGTGTATGAGATTAATGCAGGTGAGAGTATTGCATTTAAAAATAGGATTCCTATATGTTTAGATGTTTTAAGTGTGTTGCGGTTATTCATACTAAACAAAACTTGTATTTATTATTTTAATGAAGTTTGAGAATAGCATTACACATGTTGACTCAAGTACTACAGATTTAGCTGATTTTATATTTTGGAAAGGTTAGCAGACGTGGACTCACTTGTACAGTATGCTTTCCAATTTATTTAAACTGGTGTATTTTTTTAAAGTCATTGTCCGTTTGTATTGACATGCTTCTGTTTCTAGTTCCAGTTCGAAGGTTTTATAAAGTTGTAACAATGAGATAATGTGTTCACCTTCTTTTGTTGTGTGTGACTTGATCTTGAATATATATCTAGTATTGGACATTGAGGTGATTTTTTTTTTTTTTTGGCGTTGAAGTTTTAATAGAAGTTATAATTAATTTTTTTTGTGTAATAACCTGGGATCTATGGATGGGTTTTGGAGAGCCTGTGAGCCCCCTAAACTTACATGTAGAAGTTTGGGTGTTTGCATTTTTATTTTCTACTCTTCATCATGATATATGTATTTTTCTATATGGTGCAATATTTAAGGATCTAATTTTATTTTTGATTGAAACAGATACCTGTTTGTCTCAATACCATTTATTAAACATTCTCCCATTGGATCTGTTTCTCTTTTTTTTTTCTTATCTTAAATAATCTTATATATTGGCGAGTGAGATTTACAGACTAAATATATTGAGAGACTGTTGGTATGCTTCTCAAGTTTACGGCTTTTTAGTAATAGAAACCTTATGTATCCATTTGGTTTTCATCTTTAAAAGAAGGAAGGTGAGCATGGTGGTACACACTTGTAATCCCAGCACACAGAAGGATCGCTGTGAGTTAGAGGCCAGCCTAGACTACAGAGTGAGTTCATGGCCCGCCTGAACTACATAGCAAAATCCTGTCTCAAGCTCCCTCCCGTAAATAATAAATAAAAAAGCAAACAAATAAGTAAAAGAAGGGAAAATGTATTTCATCTGCTTAAAATAACCAGGAAGTCCATAGTTGTCAGTAGCAGTTTTGTGATCTTCAGACCTTTAAACAAATTTGCAAATAAATGCTCAATTTAGAGCTGGGTGTGCTGGCACATACACTCAGGAGGCTGAGGTGGGAGGATTGCTGCAAGTTCAAGGCTAGCCTGGGCTACATAGTGAGTTCAAGGCCAGCCTGAACTGCACAGTGAAACCGTGTCTCAAAAAGACCAAAAAAAAAAAAAAAGTCCAATTTAGGCTTATATAAAGGCTTTATTTCTAATGTGTTGATTTTGGTTTTTGAGACAGGGTCTTGCTACATAGGCCAGGCTGGCCTTGAACTTACTGTGCAACTGAGGGTGGCCTCAAACTCTTGGCAGTCCTCTTGCCTCAGCCTCCCAAGTGCTAGGATTACAGCCATGCACTACCACGCCTGACCTTTATTTCTAATGTTAAAGTAAAAAATCCTTAATCCTTTTAGAAAGGAGACATGTTTTAAAAATTTTTTAAGAGCTGTTGAATAGAAAGTTTAGGTGGAAATTATATGCATATTAATATTTACTTCCCATTGAATTTTTTTT